GTGACGGACCTGTAGGACGGACCGTCACAGGCACGACGAACCATCGTGATCCACCGTTTCAAAACACTTCAACTCTTGAGAATTTGGTACAGGGAACGATTCTCTGAACGTCGTGACGGAAGTGCAGGACGAACCGTCGTAGGTACGACGGGCCGTCACAGACTCCTTAAGGAAATCGAGTCTCTGACGAACCTGCATGACGAACCGTCGCGGGCGCGACGGGCCGTCACAGGTTGCGTAATCCCAGTCGGAGTCGGATTTCTGGTTAAGTTTTAAAGGGGCGTTTTGGACTATTCCTGCTATAATTATATATTTCGTGGGTTTATATTAATAACTAAATTTCTTGGGGGTTAAAAGAGGTAACCTTAAGTTAATTAGTGGGTTATTATTGCCACAATTTTATTCTTAATTATATGCTAATTAGGGTAAAAGAAAGAGGGTTTGAATAAGAAAATTTGAAAGCACAAGAGAGGGAGAAAACGAACGAACAGGGAGAGAAGAAGAACAAAGCTTTGGAAATTTGCTTGCTTGATCACTAGTCTTCGGTGGAGGTACGTTATGGTTTCTCTAACGATATTCGTAGTAAACTCTTAATAGCGAATGATATGTATTGATAATATTGTAAACCCTGCTATGTGCTTAATTGTATGCTTGCATGAATGTAATTATATAATTGTGATTATACAAGCATGATGAAGTTATTGAATCCCAAATCTTGAAAAACCCTAATCTCTTTGTTAATGATGAGGCCTTGGTATAAAAGAAGGCGTAATGAACTAAAATAATGAGATTGATGATGCCTTGGTAAGAAAGAAGGCTTGATGAATTGATAGAAGGAGATTAGGGGATCGGGTGCCACGTTCCGGTACCAGGATAGTATATGAGGATCGGAGTGTCACGTTCCGACACCAGGATAGAATATGGATCGGGTGCCACGTTTCGATACCAGGATAGTATATGAGGATCGGAGTTTCACGTTCCGACACCAGGATAGAATATGGATCGGGTGCCACGTTCCGGTACCAGGATAGTATATGAGGATCGGAGTGTCACGTTCCGGTACCAGGATAGAATATGGATCTGGTGTCACGTTCCGGTACCAGGATAGAATGAGGATCGGAGTGTCACGTTCCGACACCAGGATAGTATATGAGGAGCGGAGTGTCACGTACCGACACGAGAGGAGTAAAGATAATGAATCTTGAAAGATGTTAATATATTCAATCTAATGAACCTAATTCCCAAATGAGTATGATGAGGAGGCGTGAGTCTTCATTGATGAGCTTGGTGTTGTAACCAAGGGTTATGGTAATTGTAAATGCTACATGTTGAGTATCATAGTTGATTTTATGATATTACTTGGCATATACTGTTTTCTATTTTGAGTTGGCCGATGATACCTACTCAGTACTTGTGTTTGTACTGACCCCCTACTTTTATGTTTTCTTCTTTGTTATTTGTGGAGTGCAACAAACGTGCCGTCATCTTCGACTCAACAGTAACTCTAGCTAGTCTTCACTACTCCGGATATCAGGGTGAGCTAATGCTTCTAGCTTGGACTGGATCTTCCTCTTCATGTCTTGATGCCTTGAAGTTTCGGCATGGACTAGCTTTCATGTATTTTTAGCTTTTTAGAATACTCTTAGTTTAGTACTTGATCATAGATGTTCTTGTGGTGATGACTTCCAGATTTTGGGGATAATAATAGTTATTGATTTTATTAATGAGTTTAAGTCTTCCGCATTACTTTCTGTTGATATTATATTGAAATGTTAAGGTTTAGATTTGGTTGGTTCGCTCACACAGGAGGGTAAGTGTGGGTGCCAGTCGCGGCTTCGGTTTTGGGTCGTGACATTGATTTGAGCCGCTTATTTAGGAGGACACTTTTAATAGAATTTTCTTTCAACTTTGAATTCGAAATTCATGATTAAAGGTAAAGAAGTAATACAACTCGAACTAATTCATGCACTTTTTTTAAATATAATTTTATAAATATTTATGATTTGTTTTAAAACCTTTAATGTATTATTTTTAAAAAAAGTTATCTATGAAGTAACATCACATTATTGAGATGAAAGAATAATTAAGATAAACATAGTCAGACTTTTAAATTTATCGATAACTTTTATTTAGACACTTGAATGTATGATAATGTACTTCTATAGATATTTTCGCCTCAAATTTTTTAAAAACACTCATTGGCAGTAGCTTTCCTGTTGTTGCATTAGTAATGTGACGGGTTTATTAATTTGGTGAGGTTTAATTACTAAAGAGTGGGTAGTGGATTGATTTATAAATTATACAAATAAGTTAAACTATAACAAATAGTTGAATGCCACATATTTTTTTTTTAAATTATAGTTTAAATTTAAAACCATTAAATAAGTGATCAATTTTGAATCCAAATGTGGATGACAAAGGTATTTTAGAGCCAATAGGTGGGTGGGAACGGGGAATGGTATTTTGGAGCCATTGGTGGATGGAGGGTAATTTTGTATTATTTCAAATACTTCGAAGGTATTTTAGGCCCTTTTCCGTTGAATTTATTATATTTTAACATGATATAACAAAATTAACATTCTAATTTATTGCTTTTAAAATGTGTTTAATCGATACTCCTTCAATCTGAATTTATATGACATTTTTTATGTTTTGAGAGTCGAATAACTTATGTTTGATCGAAATTTGCGCATGAAATCTTCATTTTTTAAAAATCAAATTTATATATTTGTAAACTACGTAAAAAAGTACTATGAGTCACGATAATTGATAATTTAAAATATTTGAAAGATTTATGAAAAATTTATAATTAAAGGTTAGACGTGTTTGACTCTTGAAATTTGAAAAATGACATATAAAATGGGACAAAGATAATACTAGACAAATAATGTATTTTACTTTTTTATGAATTTGATATTCAATAAATGAGCTCGATCATAATATTATACTTCTCAAATAATGTTATTTGATTTGACGCGAAATTGTTATCAAGGTGACATGTGCGAGGCCCAAATCGATTGTTGTTCAGTTTTATTCCGTCGATGTTGAAGGTCAAACACAGCACCGGCTGGCGCGGATTTTTTATTTTCCTAATTAGTGGTCAATTCTCCAACATTATCAAATTCTCTTTTGCCCCTATTTAATATATGGTCATTCAAACACATGTTTATTTTCTATATTTCATAAAAATAAATCATGTGTTACTTTGGTCGGAATTTTTTAATCTAGCAAATTACTATAGAACCTAATGTTAGGTTAATAATCATCCTAGTTCATACAATATGTTCCACTAATATTTACTATTAATATTATATGCTCTGACCATAATTCTTATTGACTCCTTCTAATTGACTTTTAAAGAAATTTTTAATTAGTTTATGATAATCGACATGAAGTCTATATATCCTAGTTTAATGTGTCTTTTTTCAATTGACCATGCAATTAAATATAATAACATTTGAATTTTCATGATTATAAACATCTAGAGGTGTTACGTGTGTGTGGGGGGCATGTCAAAAATTAGTATCCCACTCTTTTAAGATGTGATCTTGTTGGAGTAAACACGATCAAATAATTAAATTCACATGGGTGAGGGTGTAATTAAACTGTCGATGGTTTAACTAATAAATCATGCTAAATTTAAAGATATTTAGATAGTAGACTACCTTTTCTAAATTAGTTAAAAATAAAAATATATAAAAGAAGATTAAATTTAAGGTGTTACTTAACACTTAACAGCATAGATATGCATATCATTGCCAATCATTTGCCCGTGGAGGGATATTTTTTTTTGCTTTTCTCTAGAAAATTATGCTCATTACATCAAAAATAATTTTAACACTAATTAATTAACAACAATAATTTAATTATCGTTAAATATATTTTTTTAAAAAAATTAACACAATTTTTAAATATTTCTAAATTCTAATAACATTTTATAATATGCATATTTATTACCGCTGATCTCTCTTCTTTTTTTTTAATTGTAGTGGTATAATAGTGATCTTAGATATTAAATAACATCTTCAAATGCAATTGACACTTTACTAAATATTTTTAAAATCTATAACAATATTTTATAATATGCATATTTAATAACACTAACCACTTTGTTTTCTGTATATCTATAAAACTTAGATATTTTTGGGTAAAGGAAACAGTTTAAAGTAAATCTATAACTTCTTACATATATAATTTTGATAAATTAATGAAGAGTTAATTTAATACAGAAACTTTGCTACTTAATTACTCTAGCGCAAAGTAGAGAGCAAGTTGACCTAGCCATTATACCGTATACTCCCCCCCTTTAATTTGTTTATTCTATTTTAACTTGGTACGAAATTTAAAAAATTTAAAATTACATCGAATATTTTAAAATATTTATTAATCTAATGATTTTAAACATGTCATGTGGAAAATTTAAATTAAAAAGTTGCTACAAAAGGGAATTAAAGAAGACATTCTGCTTTAACTAAACTAAAAAAAAAGATTAAGACAAACAAATCGAAACGACTGATGAATTGAGTAATTAATCAACCACATTTTCTTTACTATAGTTAATTTATCTTTCACGACGTAAACCATCGATTAATAATTAAGAATCTAACTTTCCTCTCGACGTAAACAATAAATTGCATGCGTACGCACATGAACTGAGCAACTTCATCATATATATACCATGCATGCAACGAAGACAAATAATTAAATTACACTCCTTGTATATATATATTTATAGAAATGACAGACAAATACACTTGAGAAAATAACCACCTTGCATTAATCAATGATCAGTAGTTGATTATATATATATATATATATATATATATATATA